CAGGGGTGGGGGGGGACGGGGATGGGGGACGGCGGGTAAAAACAGCTAGGGCCTACATAATAATATATAGAAAACCGAACCAGGTGGGCGACGTGTGTCAAGATGGCGGCACGTACGGCTCTAGGGAATGTTGTCTGGCGCAAACTGGTTGTGTTTTCAAAGGGAAACAACAAAAACAACAACAACAGCATCAACAACAACAGCAACAACGACAAGAAGAGCAACAACAACAGCAACAACAACAACAACAACAACAACAACAGCATTAACAAACATAGGCAGCAGCAACAACAACAGCAACAGCAACAGCAACATCGACAACAAGAACAACAGAAGCAACAGCAACAACAAAACAAGCAACAGCTACAACAACAATAATAAAAACAGTAACAACAAAAACAGCAACAATAAAACAGCTATAACAATTGTACCCATTTTAAGAAAACCCAAAATAAAAAAGTCCCCTTCCCCTCAACTCTTTACAAGGCCTGTCGACGTACCCAGAGACATAAACATCACCATCATCCAGTGCCAGATCTACGACAGACATCGGCGATGAAGGTTCTCCAAAAGCTACGTTTCCCTGATCTTTCCCCGTTACTCATTTGTTGAGGTTCCCTAAGTAGGTTGCTCTGGACCTATCCCTGGCTTGTTTGCCATCAATTTTGCCAGTGAGAGCTAGATGTTCAAGACCTACTCGTATACGTCTATTCAGGTGTCCCAGAAACTGCATTTGTCGTTTCCTGGTTGTTTTTAACAGTGAACGTCCCACGTGGGCTTCATCAAGCACTTCCTCATTTGATTTCTTTCCCTTCCACGATATTCTCAGCAGTCTCCTAAGAAACCACATTTTTGTTGCTTATATTCTACTTTCACTGTCTTTAGTGATTGTCCTTCATCCACAGACATAGAAGGGTTGACCATATACAGCATTTCAGAACTTTCATTTACGTAGTCATTGAGATGTTTCTATTTGACATGAAAGTACAGGGATAAAAAGGCACACAATTCCAAACTTGAACTATAAACAAACTTAATACGTGGCTGGTTGACCGGTGCTCTGGTGTAGTTTGCAGCGTCTTTTTAAAAAAATCCCATACCTATTTTCCTTACTTCCCGTTTCTTTGTTTGTATGTTACACTCTACTAACAATTACTACTTGGCATTTATATGACATATTTGTGTCGCATATGCTGTAAAAATCTTTCTGAACTAAATCTAAACAAACAGAGCGTGAGACAGCGGGCTCCTAGTTTTTTTGTTTTTTTTTGTTTTAGTAACGGCTCCATCATAGACGCTGGATGGGGGTAGGAGAGGGGAGGTCTCCTGGTCTAGAGGTTACGTTTTTCGCCTCTCATTCAATTTGTCCGTGTTCAAAACCTGACAGCGACGGAAAATTGTCTTCAATAAAACTGTCTCCTTTCACCTCCTTTCCTGCTCTCTAACCATGTTGTCTTATGCTTTCGTCTCCACTTTCTGCCCTCACTCCTCACCCCCCTTTGCCCCCTCCTCTAGACTCCTGACTCTTTCTGCAGACTTTCTACAGCTGCTCATTGGCCCCTTTTTAAGCTGTCTTTCAGCCACATCCCTGATCTTAGGGTAGGTAAAATGTAACCCCTAGCCGTCTCGGATAAAGGTAAAAGATTTCGGAGGTTCTGTGTGTAAGTTACGCACGTTAAAGATCCTTTTATGGTCCTAAAAACAATAAGAGAAGACTTCGACGGCTGCCACCCTGGCAAATTCAAAATGAATTCATACCAAACTGAAAATATTTAATATGCACTGTGAACTCATATGACCTCAAGCAATTGCAAGCGCCGCAAAAAAACATTACCAAGAAACAAAACAAAACAAATAAACCCCACAACAAACAGACGATAACAGAATCTTTATCTTTAAGCGTGGGTGTCCGTGAGAAGCTCAAGTGTAGGCGGTCAGATGATCACATGTGCTAACGTTGGAACCTTTGCAGTCTGTGTCATAAGTTTCAGAAAAAAAATGTCTGAAGTTAAATTTAACACGATGAAAAAAAAGCAAGAAAAGAGTTTGGTACGATAAGCGAAAAATGAGACAATTTTTTTCCTCTGTCCTGAAACTCACAAGTCGTATAAAAGACCTTCTCGCCGCCAACAGATCAACTCACAATCAGCGACCAACTATGATGCTCAAGACTCTCCTGTGTGTGTCAGCTTTCGTGTTCGTCACCGTGAACGTAAGTAAACAACACACACACACACACACAATCACACGCACACACACACACACACACACACACACACACACACACACACACACACACACATACACACACACACACAAAGTTATTATGTCTCACTGTCTCCCAAGACAGCTTGGTGGGGGTTAGGGGGGGGGAGGAGGGATCTCATTAAGAAATTAATTTCGTTCATCAAATTAATCACAGGAAAGTCCTGCGTCTGTGTCCGACATTGTGTTCTTTGAAAAGTCACTTTACACAAAGTCCCCATTTGGCTGTGTCATTTCGGAGATGGACGTTAACGTTGAAGGTCCTGCCTTAAAATAGTCTCAACAGTGTTGATAGTGGCATTCAATATAATATAATATACCATTTCACCATTTCACTCCTGCATAGGTCGCTGGTCGGTTCTCTGGTGTGGTTGCCTCCTTGTTTCCTGTCAAACACCTGTTGAACGTAACTCTACTTTTTCTTTTCGAGTAACACCTCTAGATATCGTGGCGTGTGTGTACTAATGACATTACAACTGCCGTAAATTGTGTTGCAAGCGCCGTAAAACAAAACCTCAGGGACTCTGCTCTGTGTATGTCACTCTTTCGTAACCCATCTAATCTCCGGGGCTTTTGTGACCTAATTAACTGTGCTACAAGCGTCCTAAAACCAAACCAGAGGAACTCGTACATTCACCAAGACTGTCTATCTTCCTCAGGCCAAGGTTGGTGACGTATGTCAAGACGTTAGCGCGTGCGGCCAGGAAGAATGTTGTGTCAAGTACGGACCAGACGCGGGTGAGTCATGATCCTGTAAGATTTAGGCCTACCTTTTGTAAGTCTTTATTGCCGTGTCGCTGTCATTCCTTGATAAGAGACCCCCAATCCTGTAGTCCGGTCGAGAGAATTTCAGTCACGTCTTCCTGTTAGCTTCGCTCACTCAAGACTGGTGCCCGTTCTATTTGGTCATGCGCGAAGCCTTTTTCGTTGGCCAGGTGTTCTAACGTTTACTGGACAAAATGTTGACACAATCCTACAATCCCAACCCATAGTGCACGTCTGTCGTCAGGTCGATATCTTCCACCATGTAGCGGACTCATAATTTAAGACAGATCATCAGCACATCAAAATGTGAATTGTAAACATGATAAATTTAGAAATACAGGAATCAGAAGCACATTAATTAATTTGTCCATTTAACTGTAACTGTATGCCTGTTCTTTCATTTCAGTTTTTAAAGTTGTGCTTCTTTTGAAAATTTCCCTGAAACAGCGTGTCTTTTTGCATTTTCTAACGAACCAGAATGAGCATTCTTCATGAGTTAACGCTCTTTAATTTTGATAATAATAATAAAAATA